TTCAGTGTGCAACGTCCAATCTCCAGTAAACTTCATATATTCTGTAACAGTCGCCCCCTGAACACATCCTCGTAACTTCAGCATACGTGGTCCAATTTCAATGAAACTTCACGTGTGTTACAACAGTCCCGCCCTGAACTTGTCTACATGACAATATTAAGACATAGTGATAGCGCCACCTACCGGCAACAGGAAGTAAGTGCTGCGTGGCAATTTTGAGCTGATTTACGTGAAATTTCATGTTTTGGTCCGCACGTGTAACGACGGCACGTGACGTGGCCGCAGCACGCCCCGAGTTGCGTGGAGTGCGAGGTCCCGCCCAACGCTGCTTGCAGCTTTAATTTATGTTATTTTTGTTCATTAAGTTTTAGCTAAGTTTGTTTATTTTTAAATATTTTTATTGTCGGAATCTTTTGTTTTTTTATTCCTTTACTCTTTTTCTGTGATGTCATCGGAATGTTGTGATGTCATTCCAGATCAAAGCCAATAGAATGTTCCTTTGATACAAAGGCGAACATTCCGTCTGAAAATGCATAAATAGGATCTAAATCCAACATCAGTTCAGACTCACTTCGAACACAACGACAAACAGAAAGATTCTTCAGCACTTTGTATTTAAGGACATAAACAAATACAAGGATGGATCAAATAACAACTGAGAGCCTTCGCACGCACATCCGCCAGTGCCTGGAGAAGCTGACAACCATAGAGTGGTCGCTTCTGAATTCCAGGTCCCTCGAAAAGGAGACCGAAGAGATTATAACTGACATTTGCGTGGATATCGTGAATACGATATTCATCCACATATATGGGGTGTTTAGAGAGAGGCAACTGAAGGGGAGAGACACTCCCAAATCCTCCAAAAGCTCTCCTGGATCAGCCAGATCACAGAAGAGCACGGTATCTGAAGATGAAGTCCGCGGGTGTCTGGAGGACTTCATCTCTCTGGCCTTATCGGAAGCCACCGGTGTCCCAGACATCAGTTCCCGAAGTGCGGAGAAGCTAACGGAGGCTGTGATTACAGAGGTCACAGAAAGATTCAATATGGTCTCCGAAAGAAGTGGAGACGATGAGGGGAGCAGACCTTTCATCTCACCTTCCTTCACCGAGAGACTAAAGACCATGGTGCGACATGTGGTCAAAATCTTGAAGAAGTGTGCCATGAAGAAAGGTCAGCAAAGCCTGACAACGGAGGCAGCAGACAGCCAGATAACACTGGACAACATACCAGCGCAGGACCCAGTGCTGGTTGGAACGGAGGAGTCCTGCTGCACCCCCGTTGTTCCTTCTCTTGATGAGACCGAAACAGAGTCTCCGAAGAGCTTCACGGACAAAGTCACAGAAGCTGTAAAAATCATTGTACAAGAAAGGGCCAAGATAATCAAACCAATTGATTACTTCGTCAAGGTTTCAAAGGAAGATGGCGACATGTTCGAGTTGGAATCCTCCTACGACATGGCTGAGGTGGCTTCTGCAATTGTCGTTGAGATAATTGAGGAGTTGAAACTCAATTCAGAAGTTTCACTGCCTGACTCTCTGGCAATATCTGAAAAGATGTCCCACTGGAAAACAGTGGCAGCCAAACTTAAGGATTTTTATGCTCAGCGTTTTGCCATGGGGTCACTTCTCGGCCTCATGGCAAAACTGAGGCGTAAATATAAATGCGTCCCAGGAGAGCAGTCTTCTCTTAGCCAGCTGATGGAGGAGGCTGATGATGTAGTTAGGAGTATCATCTCATCGACTGAAGAGGATCTAAGGAGGATGAGAACAGACGAGACCCCTGACGAAATAATCAACTCTGTTGGCAGTGATCAGGACAACACAGCCGCCATAGAGCTTGGTGATTTAGTTTCTGAACACCTACAGCCAGAGGCTCCCACGGTGGACTTCCGCCTTCAAATACAGGGCGAAGTGGAAACCTTTATGGGGCAGATAAGGCGATGGCTTAACCTGCAGCTGATACGCCACCAACGGAAGAAGGACCACGTAACTCTTGTCCTGAAAAAGATCAGGGAAGTGGTCTGTCAGACAACGCCTCCTGAGACCCCCTCAGTCATAGGAAGTGGCTGCGTGACACCTGTAGGAAGTTGCTGCGTGACACCCGTGGAGGTTGAAACAAAACTACCTTCCACCCCCATTCGGTCCCTCAAGTCACCGGTGGGAGCTAAGACTGGTGACACCCTGGTGGTTCAAGTAGAATCACCTTCCACCCATGTTAGGTCCTTCAAGTCACCGGTGGGACCTAAGACTGGCGACACCCTGGTGGTTCAAGTGGAATCACCTTCCACCCACGTTAGGTCCGCCAAGTCACCGGTGGGACGTAAGACTGGTGACACCCTGGTGGTTCAAGTGGAATCACCTTCCACCCACGTTAGGTCCGTCAAGTCACCGGTGGGACCTAAGACTGGTGACACCCTGGTGGTTCAAGTGGAATCACCTTCTACCCACGTTAGGTCCGTCAAGTCACCGGTGGGACCTAAGACTGGTGACACCCTGGTGGTTCAAGTGGAATCACCTTCCACCCACGTTAGGTCCTTCAAGTCACCGGTGGGACCTAAGACTGGTGACACCCTGGTGGTTCAAGTGGAATCACCTTCCACCCACGTTAGGTCCGTCAAGTCACCGGTGGGACCTAAGACTGGTGACACCCTGGTGGTTCAAGTGGAATCACCTTCCAACCACGTTAGGTCCGTCAAGTCACCGGTGGGACCTAAGACTGGTGACACCCTGGTGGTTCAAGTGGAATCACCTTCCACCCCTGTTCAATCCACCAAGTCACCGGTCAGTGATGAAGCTGCGGTTGAGGCTGCAGCACCAGCAGCCCATCAGTGGGACGATACCAGTTGCAGGCTTATGGCCATTGCACTGGTTCGTAGAATTATGAAAAGTCCGATACATCTGGACATTCATGTGACCTGCAGTGACATTGATGCAGTCAGCAGGTCACTGGCAGAGACGTTCCTGAAACAGATCACAGGTTCCGAGTTTGCTGTAAAGCCAAGTGGCCAGCACATCAAGAAGGTCGCCAAGGCAGTGCACAAGGAGTTGTGCAAGCTGACAGGCGATGCAGAGATCTTGAAGATGTGCCTGCTGTCCCGGGATGCATCTGTTTACAGATGCATAGCTGAGACACTAACAAAGCATCTGGTGATGCCGCAGAAGAAGACTGGCGTGAACAGACTCTTCTCACGTCTCTTCAAGACCGTGGCCAAGCCGTTCGCTGCTTGCTTTGGACGCAAAGAGTAATCTTTGGCAGTTTTTGACTGGACGCTAACTGGGTTTACTCCGAGAGGCTTCGGTTCGCCCACATTTTAAACTATAATGAAAAAAAATGATCTCAGTTTAGAGAAGAATTGTCTGGTGGGTCGCAACACTGGACATCAGGTGTTATAGGGAATGGACACCCGTACTAACTGGGATGACACAGGGTTTACTCCGAGAGGCTTCGGTTCGCCCACATTTTAAAAAATAATGAAAAAAAATGACCTCAGTTAAGAGAAGAACTGTCTGGTGGATTGCGACACAGGACATCAGGTATCATAGGGTCACACAGGTGCCTCAGTGTAACACTGTGGCCTTGCAGCTATCAGGTGAAGGTTCAATTCCAGCCTTTGACCCCCTTTTGCTGTGAGGAGTACAGAGTGCTCACCGTGTTGGCGTGGGTTTTCCCCGAGTAGCTTTGGTTTCCTCCCACATTTTAAAAAATAAATGATTAAGCCAAACTTATAGCCACGTTTGGCCTACTCAGCAGTGGAGCTGAGGCCTATCCCAGCATGCATTGTGTAAAAGGCCTTGGGAAACCCCAGAGATGTTATTAGTCTAGACAAACACATTCACACCTACAGCCCCCCCCCATAAAATAAATAAATAATCTAAAATAAAAACAAACAATATAACATAAAACAAACAATCCGTCTGATAAGAGTCTCACTATGAACGACCCTACTGTGGTAAATGTTTTATACTTTCATGTACTACTCCGAGCAGATTGAACAGATCCAGCTGAACTTTGCTGGTGATGTTTAGTAAATGTTGTGACGCTTTGTTGAACGGTATCTGTGGCGTTTGGAGTTGAATTTAGAAAAAAAAAGACTTATTTTGATGCTTTGAGGCATCAAAGTCTGCTAGCAAGTTCAGTTTTTGGGCCTCTGTAGTTGTACAGCAATGCTAGTGAAGAAAACATTGAAAGGATTCTGGGTTAGGGTTATAAAACTGTAAACTATCTGTATTCATATCTGTACTCAAAAATGGGCGGGGCTTCAACCTGAACTTGTTCATTTAAGCCTGAAATTGATATGCCATATGCCATTTCACTCTGAAAACGTTCACAATGAAAGAATATCATTAAGTTATTTGTTGTGTCTGTGGCGTGGCGATGGATTTTGATTTGCACCTTTAATTAGGAACCGAGCCAGCGACCACTGAGGACACCCCCGAGTTGCGTGGAGTGCGAGGTGCCGCCCAATGCTGCTTGCAGCTTTAATTTTTATTTATTATTGATTTATTATCATTTTGTTACTTAAACAAATCAAAAAAATAATTAGTTGTTAAACAGACAGCACAATTAAAGACAGAGTTTTGATAAATGTTCATTTTGTAAATGAGTTGCAAATAAAAATGCAAATTTGTGTTTCTGTTAGCAGAAAAGCTGTCAAGTGATTTGTTTTCAAATACGGAATACATTTACCATAAACGCCCATTGTGACTTATATGTCACATTACAGATCTTTGACATTTTGGGGTAGTATTTTAAACAAAACATCAGAAATGTGTTCTATGAGTTCCACTTGGTCTTTGGTATATCCCCCATAATTTTCCCTCAAGGATAAATGGGTCTGGGTTCTTATGGGTTAAATCTAACAGGAACAAATCCTATCTAACCCTAAGAAAAAACTCCTCTATTGTGTAATAAACCACCACAATGTACTATTGTGAAGGTGTATGTGTGTGTATGGTTCCTGTTTCATTGTGTGTCTATCTCTACCTGCACATTAGCCCTGCCCAAATCAACCTTTGTGACAAGGTACACTTTTCCATCGAGCCAGAGTCTCCAGAAGAAAAAAACAAACCACAGAGTCACTGTTTCTTAACCGGACAGCAAATCTTTTAGGAATGGCGCTCTTAACCTCCAGGATTACTGCTTGGCTGTTTGTGATCTCAGTTGCTGTTGTTCTTTTAATTATATCATGGGGATATTTATCAGAAAGCATCAGGTAAGTTGTGTTTGTAGTATGTTGGAAGATTTATTTAATCTGTTAAAACAATTTCTGTTGCTAATTCTGTTCATGTTTTTTAAGAGAAATGTGTATAAAACTGTATTTTAAAGACACTTAAACTTGTATCTTCCTAATATATAACACATAATACATATTATATATTGAATCTATTACTCTTTTGTCAAACTTTCAACTCAGCCGGACTGCTGTCTCAGGAAAATTCAGATACAGAGGTGAAGGCAGTTTGTTTGAATACTGGAATATAATAAGAAACTCAACTTCACCTCCTCCTGTGTTCACCACATCACATAAACCAAAAAATGCTGACGCCACAAAAACAGTCTCGGTGACAAAGCTAAAACCCGACCGTATCGCAGCCACCACGAGTGCCCCCGTGGTCGAGACTCCCATGCCCATCCTCTCCAAAAATTCCTTCAAGGGGCTTCCTCAGTGGGATTTTGAGGAGGTTTATAACCAGGATGCCCCACCCAGACAGACAGTAAGCAAGTTAGGACAAGATAAGACAGAGCAGATATGGATGTGTTAACTTTTGTGGGAGTGGGTAATCACAGCTGGTGTCTGCACAGCCACATCTTCAGCTGTGTATCTTTGGTGTGACCTGCTTGGATTTTCTTTGGTTTCCACTTTAAATGCTTTCACAAACCTATCGCCTATCAATGAGTAATCTCACTCAACCTGTTTGGCTTTTCTATCAACTGAGTTTCAATTAAATGTAGCCAGATAAACACATTCACATTTTATATGTTTTGTTTCGTTAATATTTAATTAATTCATATTTAATTCTCAGACGTGTGCCCAGTCTCTGCGCAAATCTGAGGATCCGAGCTTCAAGAAGGCTTTTCTCCCCAACATACGTCTGTATCTGCACAAAGACAATTTCAACATGAGCGAGTGGAACCGACTTTCACATTTTAACAACCCGTTTGGTTTCATGGGATTCAAATACGACGGTACGCATTAGTGTGTGTGTGTGTGTGTGTGTGTGTGTGTGTGAGAGAGATAAAGTGTACCAAGACTGTATTTCACAATCACTCTGTGTATGTAACTGATCAGATAATTGGTATTTTTATCCATTTTATTTCTTCCTGATATTGTTAAACTGCTGATCTCATTGTTTTGGCAACATAACGCTGACTGATGTGAGTTTTAAACATCTGGTCTGTAATTTTCTCTGTTTTTTCCTTCAAATTTGTCAAAATGTTTTGCTTTTCTAGGTCTGAACATTTTAACATCTTTTAGCTCATTGTTTTGGTTTTAGGAACTTTTAAACTGTTTCCTGATGCAGAATTTTAGGTGAAAGTTAAGATCTCACAAAATATACCGTAAAACTTCTAATAGAAGCAGAGTCCCAGATAGATGCAGGTCTCCTTTAGAGGCCTGGTCTGGATTTTTAAAAACTGACTGGATGTTTAAAACCAAAGAAACGCAAATACGACCTGAAATTCAAGTTAGTCGTTAAATTTGATAAACAAAACTCAGGGAAAGCAATATGATAATATTTCCATCTGTACTGAGCAAAGAAAGGAATTAAAGGCCTGTCCCCAATTAAAGGCAGGGTGAGTTTAGTGATTTAGCCCCGGGTTATTATTAGAAGTTTTACGGTATAATCATGTAATAAATGCATTATTATGGTTTAAACTTCATACTGGTTGTCATTGTTAACATAAAAATAATGATTACAGTTGTAAAAGCTCCTGTTGTGAACTGATGGTGCATCTCGTGTGTGTGTTTTGCATGTTTTTGTTAGTTTTTGTTAGTTTTTGTTTTGCATGTTTTGCATGTTTTTGTTAGTTTATGTTTTGTTTTGCAGAGGTGATACCTGCAGTGAAGTTGATCCCGAAGCCGAAGGAGCCGCTGCTGCTTCCAAAGCCCGGCAGTGGCGGCTGCGTGCGCTGTGCCGTGGTGGGCACCGGGGGGATCCTCAACGGCTCTAAAAAGGGGAAAGAAATCGATTCTCATGATTATGTTTTCCGGTAAGAAAACTTGTTGATTCTGTTTGTTCGGCCCCACCCGGCGGCGTATAAGGCTTCCAAACACTGTGACGCGTAATCATTAGTCTCCATTAGTATTTAGTGATATGAGGATCCCATTATTCCTCTTATACATCCTGCCCCGCCAACAACCCCAAAGCCTCTCGTCCAGTTTTAGCTTATCTTTGTCACATGACTGGAGAACAAATACTGTGTCAATGCGCTGAACCACGAGAGTCCTGCTGATCTCCATCACTGATGCATGTCCAATTGTGTGGATTTTGAGAGAGTCGATGCGGCAGAGTTGAGTTTGTTGAATAGGACAATGGGAGTGGATCCAGGGTTTCTGTTGTGACAGTCTGTAGAATAAAAAGAAGGCCTTCGGTCACACGCTATTATCTGTAGGTAAAAAGTATTCAGCCCTTTTGGACTTGTCAAACTGCAGAGTCAGGGCGATAAAGAACATTCTTAATAACGTTGACAGACGCTATCACTCTTTCCATGTCCTGCCTTTTGTCTTAAACCCACACTCATTTATTACTCACTTATTATAGATGATATTAAAGACAATCAAACATGTGAAGTTTGATGCAGATTGGACAAAGTACACAGAGGTTATGATAACTTCCTGCTTCTTGGCGATGTGCTGAAATTCAAGTTTTTGACTGTGTGAAGCCCTAGGAGAAGTTAGTTAAAATACGTAGCACCAAATCGGCAAAAAATTATCAACTAAATTCTAAATTCATGAAACACGTGGGCACAGATCTTCAGACGGTTGAAAACGTGCCACAGGGGCTTTGCCACAGTTCATGAAGTTGCTGCCACGGCTCACACAAACAACTAACCTTACCTTACTTCACCTTGAGCTATTTGGCACTGCATACTGACGAAGGAGCTTGTTAACATATTACACGGTTGTTGGGCAGTGAATCCTTTCTGTTGATTTGCCAGTAATGTGCCAGAGGAGCCTGGCGCTGTGTTAGCACCATGCAATAATAAACAAGATGTCAAGAATCAGATATTTTATTGTCTTCTCTCGTGGCCTCATTCCAGAGAAACCTGTTCGCTGTGAGTCAGAGCTGAACACATTATCTGTGCCGAACCCTTATTATATATATAAATGTACAAGCTTCACTCGCTTACCTTTACCACCAAATCCAGATCACACTTTTGTTTGGTCATACATGTCAATCAATCAATCAGACTTGTGAAAATGTGTTTAACATATCGATAAATTCATTTAAAAATCCCCAGAAACAATTAATGAGCCTGAACAGTCATGTTAGCGGTTGTATTAGATAAAAATGCTAACGCTAGCGTGGCGACAACCTCTCTGAACAAGCTGATCTGAATGCTCCTCTTGGTTTAGACCGTCATAGCACGCTGTAATAATTATAATATATATATATTATAATTCATCCTGTACATAACGTATGCTAAGTGCTCATACGGAGCTGTCCATGAAATACAAACAGTCGGATACAGCTATGCATATATGCTCAGCCTCTCCTTTGTACACATAGTGAACACCCAGTCAATAGACGTATATGTCTGTTTGCATTCTGATTTAGTTGCTGTGTTTGACAATAATCTGTTATTGCGTGTTGACAGCTGCTGATTATCGTAGTTAGTCTGAATTCAGTTTAATTTAGTTAAAAAGGCGTTTTATTGACGCTGGAAACGAAAAAATCTACGCAGACCTCGTATGTTTGATCATAATCTTCATTCAGAGCCTTTGTGGGTATCAAAGAAATGTATTAACTATAATTATCTGATGAAAGTCCAACCACATGTCGACATATCTAGTGTGCTTCATCTTTACCTTTATTTTAATCTGTATATTTATACTCGTACTATTCTGGTTTGTCTGTTTCCCTCAAGGGTTTAACACATTGTTATATTATATCTTATCTTAATCTTACATTTGTATGTGTTTGCACGGCAGGATGAACGGCGCCATCATTAAAGGCTACGAGGAAGACGTGGGAAACAAAACGTCAGTGTACGTCCACACGGCCCACTCCATCACCATGTCGCAGTATCTGCTGAAGAAGTACGGATACACATCTATCCCCAATGATGAGGTACCCTGAATCTGAATGACGTTAGTGTGATATTGTTCTGGTTTAAACCCTCGTTCATCTGTCTTCTTCTTCCTGTTGACAGGGTATAAAACACGTGTTAATTCCTGAGGGGATGAGGGATTTCTTTTGGCTCGAGGGTCTCCTCAAAGGAGAAAGGGTCACAGCTAGCCCATTTCATAACAAACGGTGAATATGAACTCTCACACACACAGTCTAATATCTGATGCAAATGGGAGAGCAGGTGTGAGTTTATAGAGGTTACATGTAATTCACAGGAAACTCTGTAAGACACAAAACTCCCTTTTAAAAAAAACAGAAAAGTAAAACTCATCTTTGTTATAAACATAACAAGCAACACTTTTAATTTGGCTTTTAAATTAGAATAAGATTTTTGTTTACATTTAAACACACAATATGTAATTACTGCTGCACATTGAAACAATAACAAGAAGTGAAGTGGCGTTGGGATCATGGGAGTTGTTGTTTTTACCAGGAGCTGAATTATTATTATTTTCCTCCTCTCCAAATTAAACAGATGCTGTGATTAAAGCCAGTAAAAAACCCTGAATAAAGCAGTTCCACCTTGAAAACCAGTGTTCAGAGGGGCTGTAAGACAAGCTGCTGCTAATGTTAGCTCATCTTGTTTCTCTGATAACTTCCAGATAAGATAAAGAGTTAAAAACAACCAAGATCTAAACAGTTCATTGTAAAAAAGTGATTAAAACTGGATAAAAAAGTTCAGAACTTAGGTGTTCATTGACATTTTTACGTGGAAATGTTAAATATTATATCCTTAAATTATACATTTAAAAACACATTTCAAACATAATAATTCTTTTTGTAAGGAAGCACAGAAAACGAGTTGATACATATTCTTTTTACTTTAAAAATAAAGTTTTAAAGTCTTCAGACTCTCTAAAAGCGTCCACTGACACACGTTAAGACTCAATAAAGTTGATCATTCACAGTCAGATAAACAAATCAGAGATACTGCGCTCATCCTCCACCCACATCTAATATACTTAATAATAACAAAAGTGGATCGTGTGCTGTCACTGAGTTAATTTGAGGTAAAGTCTGTATCCAATTCCCCAGCTCTTGTATTAACTTGTATATACAAACTAAGCCTGCTTTTCATCATGCCATCCTGCAAACGTCACTTCTAACTCTGCCTTTTTAATCCGTCCTACAGGCCACGGACGTACTACGGCGGGCAGTACAATGAGACTCGCTTTTATGTTCTGCACCAGGATTTCCTCAGATATGTGCGGAACAGGTGAATACCCTCTCATAACCCCACACAGACTGTTTGTTTTTTACAATAATAGTATTCTCAGACCAAAAGTGCTAAATATTAAGCAGAAAGCAAAAAAAAAACAAGCGATAATATAAGACTTAAGAGTTGACAAAGTATCTCAGATTAAAAGCAAATTCTTACGTCATTTACGACCTTTAATGAGTCTGTATATGTGTTTTTGACTTTGTTCTTTGCCCCCAGCTTCTTAAAGTCTCGTAATCTGAATGCAACATTCTGGGCGATAGTCAGACCAACCAACGGGGCGTTCACTGTCTTCTTGGCTCTGCACACCTGTGACGTCGTAAGTTAATGTTACTTAAACTTGTTACTAAAAAATTTAAACATCCCTGTTTAAACCTGTTCAGGAGGAGAGTGAATAAATAGGGTGCGGAGGGTGAGTGTGAGTTTAAGACAAAAGGCAGGACATGGAAAGAGTGACAGGGTCTGGCAACGTTATTAAGAATGTTCTTTATTGCCCTGACTCTGCAGTTTGACTCAAAGTTATTGACATTAAAGTATTCAATGAGTTTATTGTGTTATTGAAGTGTATAGTATACAATAAAGGATATAGTTCAACATTCAGGGAGATGTGCAGGGAGTTTGAAGCATTGACAGTATATATAAGCAGTTTACTAACAAGTTTATGGTCTCAATCGCTAGTTTCACATCTTCTTCCAAACATTATGATGTTGATTTAAGTTAAGTTTAAGTTATGGTCCGCTTTAGAGTAAAATAGACGGTAAAGTTGCGTATGCTTTTGGGGCGGGGCTACGTATTGATTGACAGGTCACTCTCAGTGAGTTCATCCAGCTCAGCACACAAAACTCAGATCAAACTGATAGATTCTGTGACTGTGTTGACTATTTCTGACTTAAAATCGTCTCAGAAACATGTTTTAGTTTACTGTTTAGCTGTAATAAGATTGTTTCCGACTGTGGACGAGTCAAAACTGCGCAGCCAATGAGCGTAGAGCAACTCGCAGTACGTGACCTCCGCTGGCTCGCGCTGGCTCCGTTTTACTGTCCAAAACACAAGGCTTCAAAACGGAGCTCCACAAACCAATGGGTGACGTCACGATAGGTTCACACTTCGGTTCGAAGGTGATTAACTTAGCTTAGCATAAAAACTGGAAACAGCTCCTGTAAAGCTCACTAATAAATGTTTTATCTGGTTTGTTTAATCTGTTTCAAAAACAAAATTTTTCGGTCATTTCTTAAAAAGACCCAAACAAAACCCTCAAAATGTTGACGTGATAATAACGTGTTAATTAGTGAGCTTTACTGAGGCTTTACGCTAATGATAAGCTAACTGTCTGCTGGCTGTAGCTACGAATTGGACAGACAGACGTGAGATTGGTGTTGATCTTCTCATCTAACTCTGTTTTTCTCGTCTTCAGGTGGACTTGTATGGATTCATGACCGAGGACTACAATAAGTACTCTAACTACTATGTTGAAAAGACGAAAACACACGTCGTTTTCTTCGCCAACCACGACTACATGCTGGAGAAGAACCTGTGGTCAAAACTACATAAAAGCAAAATAGTTAAGTTGTACCAAAGAACGGACGCAGAAGCACAGACAGAAAAGCCGAAGCAACACTGATGACCTGAGAATGGCATCGAGAACTTAGGTCAGTTAATTCAATTAAACTAAACACAATTATTAATATAAAAACAACACAGAGCCGTATATCGGACGGTTCGGACCTAAAATATCAGATTTCACAGCTTTTCTGACAGATTGCGATACTTGTTACATGTTTTGTTTTTTTACGGTAAGAAAGTGAAAATTTTCAGTTTAACGCGTTATTAACGGCGTTAACACAAACCTATTTTAACGGCGTCATTTTTTTTTATCGCGAGATTAACGCCTAGCACACTTTGTAGTTGCAACAACTAGTAACGTTAGAAAAACTACAACACCACACCGGATCTAGGTAGACCGGAAACAAAACAACAGGCACGCCGCACACACGTGTTTAAGAGTAGTAGACGTTACGTTTTGAGTGGATGGCGAGCGCGAGACGCCGAAATGGATTCCTTGTTGTCTGAAAATGTCAACAGGCTTGTCTGTTTGAGTAACTGGCTCAAAGCAAAGAAGTAGTAGACTTACCTTTTATTGGGAACTGTTACTGTTCATTGTTTCTGAAATAAGAGGCTGGGTTGAGCCTCTGGTGAATAAGAGCAGTAGTCTGACTGCTATGTTCAAAGCAAACTTGAGGAAAGTATTAAGTCGTGGTTTAACTGCACTATAGGCTGAGTCCTAGTTTACCTTACATGTGCACTTTGTAATTTTATTTTGTATCGCCCTGTTTTGATCCCTTAGAAAGGGCTGTTGAAGGGGCTGTTTGTGTGACAAAGTATTTTTTTCACCCTTTTATTGACGGACAGTGTTACATTGTGTGAGAGATTATTTGATCCACGTGAGAATGTTAGTGTGAAATTGAACACTACAGTATACGCCAATGTTGTTTTCAATAAAAACAACATTTGCTCAAAGCAAGCCGATCCACTTTTCCATGTTGATAAGAGCATTAAAATGAGAAAACATAATGGGACAAAAAGAAATCAAGGGACATTTAGAATAGATAAAAATGTGCGATTAATTGCGAGTTAACTATGACATTAATTCGATTAATCGCGATTAAATATTTTAATCGTTTGACAGTGTAGTGAACCACAGTGAGGTGTTGTGAACGCAACCCCGGTAGTCCAGCAAAACTCCTCCCCTAGCTCCTCCCCCTGCCCAGGTGCAGTATAAAAGGCTTCAGCTGGCTCAGTTTAACCTCTTGCTGGTCCCTGGTGGTGGTTGCCGGCTGAAGGTGGTGAGTAGGGTCCCCATTTTGTTTGTGTTTCCTGGTTTATAGTTGTCTGCCCAACTAACATGTGCCTTTTTGTGTTTTAGGCTCACCTGCTGCTGTTCTGTTGTGTGTTGTTAGGTTTGCCTTTTCTTTTCGTTAGTTTATTTATTAAGTTTACTTTGAATATATTTCTATTATTTTGCTTGAGTGTATGTTTTGAGATTGTTTGGTTATCAATGGGGTTGTTGGTTTTTGTTAACTTTTGATTCTCTCTGTTTCAGGAGTGCCTTTTCGTTTGTTTCCTTGCTTTTTTGGTGCGGCCTGGGTGTCCTCAGGTGGGCGGCTAGGCACCGTGGTGGACCCTCACTCCTGTTGCATGCAAGTAGGCACTGGGGCTCTTTTAGTGCATGTGTTTTAGTGTTTGTAGTGTTGCCCCCCCAGACTAGTGAGACAGGGTACTTTACCAGTAGTCTGCCCCCACTGAGGCCCCAGCCCACTGATTTGAGTTAATCATGTATTTCATTAGTTTTAGCACTGTTTTATAGTTGGTTTCTTTTAGATCATTTTTGTAATAAAAACATTTGTTCTATTTTACCTACTGTCTCTGCCTCATCAGTTTCGAACCTGTGCCCTTTCAAAGAATTTGGTTTTCATATCCTATATATGGCGTTGTCGGTCCGTAAGTTAGTTCCTTCTCTTAGTTATCCTTCCTCCCCCATTTACAAATACATTTTCACTCCTCGCCACAACAGCACCACTTATTACTCATGCAATAAGTGGTGTATACTGTATATAAAATAACAATAAATAAAATAAAAAAAAACCCACTTGGACTTTATTTTAACAAAAAATGCCTCTTCAATAAAGGTAAATAATGGGTAACACCAGGTACCCCAGACTGCCCTGGTACAGGCACTAACGGGGAAACCTTCTCTGGGTTTAATAACTCTCAAACACTTTATGGCAACAAGAGAGACAGCAGAGAAACCTCAGGAGGTCCTAAAGAACAGAGTTTCAGTCCTACTGTGTCTCATAGTGAGTGCTGAACACAAAGGATCAGACTGAACCTGGGTGAGCAGTCCTCCCTCTGTCTGATCTGATTGATCCTCTAATAAACACAGAGGAATGTTTCTAATTGATCCAACATGAAATGGGGAAAAGGAAAACCAAACGGCGGCAGATATGAATGAATGAATGCTACATGTTGGTGGCACTGGAGGAAAAGTTAGTAGGTCATCATCATGGATCTGTTTTGTATTTCAGTCCAATATTTGAGATATTTCACCCTTCAAAATAATAACATTTCATCCTCATGGGAAGGATTCATCAAAGTCATCAGGTGTCTTCTTCTGTTTGTCCAAAATCAGTCGTCTAATAGTGGTTGAGATATATAATATTCTACATCGCTGTTATTTTTTAAGAATTTAAATTAATTACGTTAATCTTGCATTTAAAAGCGCGACTGTGTTACAGGCCTCAGTGTGATGAATCCTACAAACAGGTGTGTGTACCTGAGAGAACATAAAGAAATGAAGCAGGCAGACGTGTGGCTCTTTTTTCAGCGTCTTCTCAAGTTATTTTATTAAACATTTACCAGCTGCAAACAGTCATTGTCTCTTGTAGTTTGGGTCACTGTGTTCACAACATGTTTGTTTCCTCCATGTATGAAGCATGTGAAGGTTATTAAGGCTATTTAATAATAAAATATATCAAAACACCACGTATGCCTTTATCAGACATCAAACCTCTAAAATGTCTCTAAACAAACTTTACATCAATCAAGAGTATAAAAATTCACATAGTCTCATATTAAATTCACTCATTTCTGCCTCAATACCAAACTAAAATCAGCTTTTTTGACAATAAAATCGTACATTTAAATCATCGTAGTTGCTCTGTACTTTAACAGAATAGACATTTACTGTACATGGACAGGACTGCAGCGCTGTTAACAATATGATGAACTAAAGTAAATCACAGTATCACTTTATACACTTATATTTTAATAACATAACCAACAGGCTATTAGGAAATGACTCTTTAAAACACACAGACTCAATTAGTCCTTTAATAGAAAATGAAACAATGTACAGGAGCCAGCAGACTAACACAGTTTAAAATAAGACCGTACATAAAGCTCAGAAATTATTGATCAAATACATAAAAAAAAAAGATGTGACCGTACATTTTGTGTGCGTCACAACTTCACTGATACATTTAATAATTCAGGCTGTTTGTATTCACACTTAATTAATAAATAAAATTAATAAATACATTTTACATTAAAGTTTCAGAGAGTCACACACACACACACACACAGTCTATAATCTAACTTCAATCACAGAGAGTTGTTTATTATGTTTGACCAGTAAAGATATTAACACATTATTAACTTGTTTATTTATTTTTCACATATCAGGAAGCCCCACATGAGCAGGGCATCAAAAAATTGCGTTATACTCTTATTGATCCTCTCCACGGAAATCTTTAGTAAAAGGCGAAAGATTTATTCGATCTGAAGAGAAACAAGAGCGATCTGATAATCGATAGTTCCTCTGATCGACCTGATTGGAGCCAACAGCGCTTTGTGTTGTGGTGTTCACTGTCAAATGTTACTGAGACTAAAATCTAAACCCACATAAAGTGCAAATAAACAACCCAATAAATAAATCAATCACTGAGGACTTTTAATGAGACAAACGAACTTTTATTCGCCTCTAGTTCGCCGATCGCACGGTGGCGCAAAGCATGATGGGATTACGTTCTTACGTCCCGGTTACGTAGAATTTATATTTTAAATCTGTTATTTTGTTTGAATTTAAAATAATTAAATTAATCTCTCAATCAGAAGCACAACTGCACTGATACATTTATTAATTCAGACTGTTTGTATTTATACTTTTAGATAAATAAATAAATCTTACATTAAAGTTTCATAAAGCCCCGCCCCCTCACACAGAGACTATAAACTGACACTGGAAGATAAAGTTTCATTATTAACTTGTTTATTTATTTTTCACATATCAGGAAGCCCCACAGTTAAGCAGGGCATCAAAAAATTGCGTTATACTCTTATTGATCCTCTCCACGGAAATCTTTAGTAAAAGGCGAAAGATTTATTCGATCTGAAGAGAAATCAGAGTGATATAGTGACACAGACACTGAGAGCCCGCTGCCTTTAACGGGAACATGTACTTCATCAACGGTGTATTGTTGCTGCCACTAAATAAAAACCCTGAACAAACTGTTGGGGACAAACACAGCAGTGCTGATAAATGGAAACTTTGCGCTGGTTAACTTTGATACTTGAAACGAACCGTTGATCCGTTTATTAACGGCTTTTAACTGGTGGCGCAAAGCATGCTGGGAGTGGAGGGCTGAACGACCGTTAATTTCCGTTTGTTGTTAATTTGTCTCTTCCCGGTTGTTTGTTTGTTTTTTAAAGTTTATAAATGTAATAAAGTGCAACAGTTTGTATATACAGACTACAATGTCACCGCCGACAGTTGTTCATATAGTTTGTATTAAAGTTTGAGTGTGACAGCCGTTGACTGACCAAAGACTGCAGATTGAATGAACAACAACGACCTCCTGTGGTAACACAACACAATAAACTGCTGCTATCAAGGCCGGATTAACCTCTAAAGGGCCCAGGGCAGAGAGGGCACAAGAACAAGATCTGGTTATATCTCGTTTATATGTTGAACTGTCCGCCGGAGCCGTTGCGCTGCACATAATCTCTGCCCCTGGCTGCCTGTGACTGTGACCGTGAGCTGAGACCCTCTCCTCATTGGTCAGCCCGTATGAGGCAGGTCAAAGGTGACGCCAATCAACGTGCACTGAGCAGGTCGCGTGACGTCAAGCGCCGCTACGCAACACTACTCAAACATGGAGAATCTCAGTGGGAGCGCCAAACGGAAATTAAAAAAGGAAACATTTAAAATATATACCGAAAGTAGGGAGTTTCTTCACGCTAGTAAACGTTAGCAACTGTTCTGCTAAGGCAGCATCCGTCAACGAGGACCGCTCAGCTAGCCAGGACACTTCTTCACTGCCGGCGCTAGCTAATGTTCACAGCCCCGAGAGCGAAGAGCCCCCGGCGGCATCTTCAACCGACGGCCCGGGTTCTGCTGCGAGTGCGACCGGTGAGGGAAGCGGTGATGGGTCTCTAGTCTCACCGCCAGCTGAACCGCTCGTCGAGTCTGCGAGCAGCCCCTGTACGGTACAGGCTCCATGAAAATGCGGCACATTGTTTATTGTTGTTGAGAGAAAACAGGCAGATTTCAAACTGTTTATATTGCACTGTAACTGGATTGTCCTGTTTAATTCTGATTTCTGCTTAAAATGAGCTGAGGACCAAAATGCTAACGTTACTTGATTCTAGGAGATTATGGATTTTTGTTTGTGTCTTGTCTGTGGACTTCCTCCGTGATGGCTCTATCAGTTCAATACATTTGTGTTGGGAGTAGGTGTTGTTAAATACATTTTGGATGCTTTGAAAGTGGTTGCCTATTTATTTTTTTTGTGAAAATGGAGGACACTTCCTTCCCTCTCTATGTAGTGGGTCAATTTTGCCAGATTAAACTGATGCTGATGTGTTTTGTTTTCATAACATATGTGAGTGAGTGGTCTTGACAAGAGAACATAGCGGTGCGTTTGTAGTTCTATGAGCATTTGCACATCTGTACATCAAAATGCACTTGATGACAGTTACTTATTGAAGTATTGATTATATTTACTGTATATTACTGTAATTTATTCTGTATTTTGCCAGATTATAGCGATCCTGGGGTCGTGATGATGGGGCCCTTGAATATTGTTGCCCAGGGTACAGTGAAGTGTTAATCTGGCCCTGGCTGCTAGTATACTTTTTATATTCTATCAAATTACAGAAACAACAAAGAAACAAATTGACAAAACAGATATCTTTAATTTTTAATATTTAACGTTATATAACTGTATAAAAATAAACCAGGAGTTCATAAAAATACAATAAAACATCCAGATGGTCAGGTGTCTGATGTCTGTGTATATATATAATTTCTCATACACACATTATTAATATTATATTATGGCTGCACTGTATATTTAGCCCTATATTTATGTCTTATATTAACTTTAAACTATTATACTGCTGTTTATATTATTTTATTATTAGTATAAGGACTGTAAACAAGGAAACAGAAATGTTACTTGATGTGTTTTGTTTTGATTAAATAAATAAATAAACAAAACAAACAAAAAAGTTGCCTAACTACTCCCTACTGCTTCTGCCTTATTCACAATAAATAAACTAATGCACAGTAATATTTTATAATACAATACAGAGCATAAATGAGTTTTTAAAATCAGAATCAGGTTTATTTGCCAAGTAAGTTTTCACATATAAGGATTTTTGCTTTGGTACATTGATGCAGAAGAATCACAATCAAGCTGGAAAAAATATAAATGAAGATAAAAGATAAAAAAAGAGACAATAAAAAGGAGCCTAACCCTCAACTAGGAAACAGAAATGTTACTTGATGTGTTTTGTTTTGATTAAATAAATAAACAAAACAAACAAAAAAGTTGCCTAACTACTCCCTCCTGTTTTTTCACAATACAATATGTTGTATACAATACAGAACATACATTATATAAGTAACAGAATTAAAAGATACTTTATTAAAGCACAAATTGTTATTAACCAGATAATCAGACTGAACAATTTTGTTTCACTTCATTCATTCTTGTTATTTTCAAAGGTCTGAACCAGGAAACATTAAAACATTTTATACATTCTGCAGATTATTTTGGATTGAACTTCCATCCACTGTTATTTAAGTGTTTTTACTCATTCTTGTGTCAAAGACTCTTTACAGACACAATCATTCAGCCGTGGCTCTGATGCGTCAGCAGGTGGTGCAGTTTGTTTACAGTTTTTTCCGATTCTTAAAACACAATTTTGCAAACTAGGCTGGCTTTATAAAAATACTAAACACAATTCATAAAACCAAACACTCAAACTGTAAAAATACCTCATATATCCTGCAAAATGAAGCACTGCAACCAAAACTACATATAGCATTATCAAAATCAAACTTTTTGCACCAAATGGCACACACTTCATTCATATTACCAGATTGTTGTCTAACCAATTACACACTGTTGGGAACAATGAAAAGCACTCTCATCTTTAAGAAATATTTGCAGACACACACACACACACGCTGTTGAAACATTTATATTTTTATTTTTCACCAAACAGGTCAGTGCAACATATGCACAGCAGATACATTTACATTGGAGTGAACAGAAATATGTTCACAAAAAACAGTTAACTGAAACATAACCTCTGGTCTTTTTATAGTGCTTATTTCCTGATTCCTGATTGAGGCGGTAACAATGAATCATTGAGCTGGCACATATATTGGCCAATCAGCTCATGTAGTGTCATTTTGAAGGTCAGTGTTATGAAATGACAAACATGGGACTTTTTGTCAGATTGTTGTCTTATGGTGTTCAGTGCATTTAAAAAGTGTCATTTTGAATCGTGTTACTGCCGCCGCTGGCTGTCCTTTAGTGTGTATTCATTGTGGTGTTTCATGGCTGTGATTGTGGCGAAGCTACCAATCAGGCGTCTTCAATCAACCCCAGCTGCAGTTAAATAGCTTGTGTGTCCACAGCTCAGTGTGGCTGTGAACCAGTGATCAGTTTGCTGTGATGTTGGTCGCGTACTGTTGTGTTAGTTTAGGGTGTTTGTATTTCTTAGTATTGCCTGGCTGTTGTCTGAGTTGGTTCAGCCAGTGCTTTTGTAATCTTTGTGACTTGTTTAGTTTGTTTAGTGTAACAAGAGTTGGACACTCTTTTGTTTTAGACTTCTTAAGTTGCAGAATAACTGCTAGTTCGTTTGTTGTTCACTAGTTTGTAAGCTTATGGGTGCTGATCTCTTTTTGTTCTTTAGTGTCATTCAGTCAACTTCATTTTGTGTACTAGTTATTTGTCAGCACCTGTAAAGCCTCTTTTTGTGATATTTCCTTGTGCAAGTGCACTCTCCTTATCTGATTTGAACCTGAACCTGTCAATTGTCGCATTCCATCTCATTTCCAATCCCAATTGTACGTTACTGCTCTCCAAAACGAGCCGGGTCGTAACAATTGCAAAATGTGTGTAAAGCGGAAAATGTGTTTAGAGTTTGAGACTTGAGAAGAGTTTTGTGTGTCAGTTTAAATGATTGTGCTATGCATGTCATTATAGTGTGTTAGCAATTGGAAAAAACTGTAAACAACTTTCAGGGAAATCTCTTCAAAATCTACATTTCTACATCACTCACACTGTTGCTCATCCAGAAGTGCAGAATCTACCTGAGTTCATAACATTGTGTTTTTATTTGCTGGTAGTGAATGCACTGAAAGATATCCATCAAGATGCAGCAATAATTAATTTAATGAGGAGAAGTAGGTGATATCAGCTAAATTGAGCCATTTAAGGTTTGAGCCTCCTAGCTCTTTAAATTCTAATAGCCAACGGCTGCAAATAATTTCAAATTGTTGCTACAACTGTATTTGATTCAAAACAATGGATTTAATTGGTCTATGGTTGCTCTGGTGGGCGGGGCAAAGCCTCACTTCCAGACTGCTGAGGAGAACTGTGAGGTGAGTGGCGTGGAAGACAAATCTTACTTGAACATTATAAGGTTGATAAATCAATAAAAAACAGATGTACAGCTATAAAAAATTGGGTATAATGCATGTTGTGATAGCATTCATCAGAAATAATAATAATAATAATAATAATAATTTTAATAATTTTTTGGGTGGCTCAATTTACCTTAATGTACTGAGGTAAACTGAGCCATGCATTTCAGCTAAAATGAGCCACCTTCAGTTAGTTTTAGCAAATATTTTGATGGTTCCTCTTATTAAACAGTATTAATATATGACTATATGAATATGTTACAGCACATATTCCACGCCTCTTCACATTTCCCTTCTATTTATCCCTCCTGAATTTCCCTTCGAGGATTAATAAAGTACATTATATTCTATTCAGGTCCAGTGTGTGTGTGTGTGTGTGTTTGTGACACACACACACACACACACACACACACTGACTCACACAGGAGTCATCATCAGTGATTTCTTTATCATATTCCAGTCCAATATTTGTTGAGATATTTCACCCTTCAAAATAAGATAACATTTCATCCTCACAGTGGGGCTACATTCAAGGAACCAAAGTCATGTTATAAACCTCTGTTTATTAATATTTACTTGATTCAGCTCCAAATCTGGACATTTTAGTGCCAAAGTATTTGAATTTCACATATTTAAACCGCCCTCTACTGGTTGGAACCTGCATACTTACACATCACATTTTTTTTGCTTTTGAACCGGAAGCAGGTGAAGTATGCTCTTACAAATGTTCAATTATAGCACACGCAACTCCTTTAATCTTTGTTGGGAAGAGATGTTAAGATAACATTGAGACGTTGTAGACACTCCTAGATATGATCAATGGAAAACAATATTGAGCAACTGCCTCCATAGTAGTGTGACTATGAATGATACAGTGACGTACAATATAAAGGAGAGTGATTAACTGTGCTCATGTGGTAAGAGCTTCTCTGATGTAAGCTGATCTTTGAACTTCCTGCAACAACAAAGTGATCAACTGTGTCCTCATTATATAAAAAAGAAATCTTCTCTTACTTCCGTCTACTGGGCTATATTTTAAAGTTTTGCATGTGATTAAAGCTGTGGTGGCGCACAAAACCAGACTATATGTTCACTGCCGCAAGCTGGCCCTGCAAAAGCAGGTGACAGGTTTTACAAGTCTGATGGAAAAGGTCAACGGACCGTGCTTCGGCAAAAGAGGAAACCATCAGTCGTTCTCTCCAAGTTTGATGTCAGTAAACAAACAGTTTGTAGTCTGTCTGTCTGTGACTTCCAGAGCGTAATGTCACCGGGCAGCAGTCCAGTCCAATATGTGGGCATAATGGCTCCTTACAGACATCATCTTTTTACAAGTTAATGTTTATTTTGAATTTAAATGTTGATTAACTGGGCAATATGGATCCACATCTCTCAGTAAATACTCACCATCAAGTATCCAGTCAGGTCATTGCATAAATAGCATTTTATGTTTGAAAATGTATAAATGATATTTGGAAACTTAAAACTTATAAAGACTTATGTTAACATTGTATAGACAAACCTAATTATATAATATTGTGAGGACTAA